AAGATTGCGCCCTATTCCCGCGGTTGTCCGAGTGCGGATCAAGTGCGAGTCGTCCAAGGAATCGGCGGGTTGGGCGGGCGCTCGGAGGACTCCGAGGTGACGGCTGACGCCTGTGGTCGCTTCCCTCAGGACAGTGTGAAAGAAACTAAAGGTAAGGGGGACACTTTTTTATGTAGACCAAGTATGCCACTCAGTGCAAGTGTGTGTTGCTGCACTCGAACCAGGCGTCACGAAACGGCAACCTTACGCGCCTTTGCGAGTGCGGTTGCCGATTCGCTTTGACAACGCTAACGCCAGCAGAGCCATGGCGCATCGGCGCGGCCTTACTGGAGCTAATTCGAGACAACTGCGGCAACGTGCATGTGTATGGTGATCGATTTTTTCATATGTGCAATGTAGTGAGGAAGACGCACACGGCGCTTGCTACGTTGTTGATTAAACGAAGCCTGCAGTGCCATTTCATGCAAAGCTGCATTTTGTTTACGTTCGCGGGCGATACAATTTGTAACTTGGCTCGATTCACCTAGCCAACCGCCTAAGTGGGTTGATTAGCATACGTTCACGGTAGAGCGTTATTATGCCCCTAAACAGTGGCGTGTGCTTGTTGAAAGATATATTGTGTGTGCCTAGTGTAGAGAGAGAGAGAGAGGTGTTCGTGCAATCTGCATGTGTACCTGCAAGACGCCTTTGCTTGTAACTAATAATGTACCGGCCAGCACCTACATTGTACGCCTGACTTTGAAGAAAACTTGCATGCACAATGTGAGATTTTGTAATCTGCCAGAGTTGCTTTTTATAAAATAATACACTGCCAGCATGTTCAAAATTTGTTTCGCTGCTGTGTGGGAGGGGTGCGGTTATCACGCTGTTGTGTAGTTGCTGATGCAAGCACTTATAGTTTTGATGCGTTAATATTTCTCATCTAACTCATCAGGTGTTTGGCTGTTTCAGCACAAACAAGGCAAAGAGAGAAGAAAGACGGGTAATGACAGGACCAGTGCCGACTTTTGTTTGCAGGAGAATACCCATGTTGGTGTATTTATTGTAACAACCTTTCTGTGTTGCTTTTTTGCCCAATTTATGCAACAACAAAGTTGTCAGCAATATGAGAGAGAACACTGAAATTAGCTTTTAAAGATCATGGTGACTAAATGCCTAATAACTCACAGCACAAAGTAACAACAAAAGACATCAGTATGATCAATGTGGTTGAGTACAGTCTTGCATCTAAAAATTATATTGTGCAAAATGTTGCCTAAGTAAGAAACCTCTCTATTTTTGCAAATAGTGTGACGTCACTTCGAGCACCGTGCCAGCCATTCCATCCCTCTGTGCAAGGGCTGGTTGGCAAGGAAGTTGTTTGTGACGTTCCTGAGAGACCACCGAGATGTATGCGATTCTAAACCTGTAGCCTAATATATACGTAATCTTTTGTGCAGTTACATCGCTGCATCTGACACCTACAACTTATTTGCATATTTACATTGCTCCCTTAGGACCTAACACACAAACTTGTTGTTTGCATTGTCACTTCATGAATATCGAGCGGTAAAGGTACTGAGTATATGTGAAACAAGAATCTCTGCTTATTACATGAAGAAATATGAGGCCTTCGATAAAACGAGTTATACCTTGATTGAAGTTTGAAGTTTGAAGTTTATTTTGCTTCCATTACAGAAACAAGGAGCAGGAGCAAAAGGCTACAAAGGCCTGACAAAGGGCTCCCACTCCTGTTGGCACTCAGCATCAGCGGTACATATGGCAATACAAAATTCATCACAGAAATTCATATGAAATTAAAGATCATATAAGCAGTATACAGACCATCTGATGAATAATACATGATAAAAAGATAACATGTAGGTTAAATCAAATCAATCCGGATAAGCAGCCCGGAATACCAAAGAAATATGCACAATAAACAGTCGCAAATACATAAGATTATTATTATACAGAATAAAATATACTGACTTCAGTAAAATATAACATAGGCAACGAGTGTGAATGGCATTATTCATTTGTGAAAAAAAAACAAAAAACATAACAGTATGACACGAAAAAAGATACGCATCATACATATTCCAATTGATGATTTATAATATACAGTTTCATAGATTTTTTCGACATAGTATTAAAATCAAGGGGGCTTAGGTGATTTATTAAATGCGGAACCTGGTAGCCTATATGCTGCCGGCCATAAGCTGTTCGGAACTTCGGTATTACCCTAGTTTCATTGCGTAGAGAATAACGACATTTTGATTGGGGTGATTTAGCTGTGTAGAGCTTGTTCTTTTTTATATGCTGAAATATTCTATAATAGTACATTTGGTTAGCTTTTAGCAAATTGTGTTTAATAAACAAATCATGCGTTCGCAAATCTCGAAGCCTACCTGTGTAGTTTTCAAAGCATCTAAGGACTCTCTTTTGCAATATTATCAATTTCTGATAATTCTTGAGTATGTTGTACCCCAGACTAGCATGCAATATGTAAGGCGAGAGTAGAACATGGAGTAATATAATACTTTTTTAAGCCAGAGCGGTATCAGATCCCGGATTTTATTAAAGCATCCCGTGATTTTACTCAGTTCAGCGGACAATTTTTCCACATGTGTCGTCCAGGACATATCGCCTCTAAACCATATGCCCAGGAATTTATGAGCCTCTACCTGTTCTATTTGCACATTTTGAAACAGTATTGCTAGCTTAAAATTGATCGGCTTGTTAATAGGGGCAAAAATAATGTATTTTGTTTTATTGACATTGAGTTGCAATTGGTTGCTGTGCAACCACGACATAAGTAGTTTTAAGTAATTATTTATTGAAATTTGTAGCATTTGCAGCGACTTTCCAGCAAAAAATACATTTGTATCATCAGCATACATAATTACACTTTGGGAATATGGTATATAAGCAAGATCGTTTATGTACAAGTTAAACAACAAGGGTCCAAGTATAGATCCCTGCGGGACGCCTTTTAGTATCTTAATTTCGTAGATTTGGAATTGTTAATAGATACATACTGATACCTGTTTTGTAGATAACTTCGAATCAAGTCATGTGCTATCCCTCTTATCCCACAATCATATATCTTAGTCAACAAAATGGCGTGGCTCACAGAATCAAAAGCTTTTCTTAAATCTAGAAAAAGACCAATGGTGTATAATCTTTGTTCAATGTTATTTATTATTTCATGTTTATAGAAAGTAATGCTTCTTCACAGGATCTTTTTTTTCGAAACCCATATTGCACGTCAGACATAATAGAGTACTTTTGAACAAAACCATCAACGCGAACGTTTATGACTGTCTCAAAAATCTTTGACATGACTGGTAATACCGATATAGGGCGGTAATTATTAAAAGTGTAGTCTGTGCCACCTTTGTGCACCGGGCACACTCTAGCCAGCTTGAGTGCTTCTGGAAACACACCCTGTTCGAGCATGCAGTTAATGACGTGGGTTAAAGGACTGCAAATTATATCCATTACATATTTCACGGCAGCTGGTTTGATATCGTCGTAGCCTGCAGCTGCATTGTTTTTTAGGTTACGCATGATGTTTGACAGTTCGTGCTCCGTAGCTGGTGCCAGCACAATAGAATTACTTGAACTGGTTTTTTTTTTTATACGCATCTACACTTGGATGTTCATAGCGCACAGTCGAACTGTACTCTCCACTACGAATGAATTGGTGGTTTAACATATTAGCGGCTTCGTCATCATTTAGGATGCCTTGATTTGTAGTTACAACTATTGGCGCTGCGTCATTCTTTCTTTGAGCAAGATTGTTAACCGCCTGCCAGAACTTCTTTTTGTCATTTGCTACTTGGGAGAACAAATTCTCATAATAACAGATTTTAGCATATCTAAGTTCTGCATTGAGCTTATTTCGATATTTTTTGAACTCAGCAAACTTTTGTGGGTCACGCGTCTTAACGAAAGAATGATACATGTTATTTTTAGCGGCAATCTTATTTAAAAGTGCCCGCGTAATCCATGGCTTTCTAATCTTTTTCTTCCGGGTACGCTTAGTTGTTTTAATAGGAAAGGCTAGCTCGTAGCATGACATGAAACTGGCATAGAAATTGTTATATGCTTTATTTACATCACTTTGCTGGAAAATCGGTTCCCAGTTTGTCTTTTGGATCAGAGAGCGGAAATGAGCTAAAGAATTTGGGTTTATATTCCGATATGTGCACACGCCCATTTTTATGCTTTTATCATTTGTCATTGGCAAGAAACAAAATATCGGCAAATGATCACTTATGTCCACTGATAAGAGGCCAGCATAGCTACTTGTGCCAGGTGCATTTGTAATGGCGACATCTAGCAACGTCGCGCTATCCGCTGTAATACGAGTGGCTAGATTGATAAAATTTTCACAGCCATAAGAATATAGAGTTCGCTTAAGTTCACGCGCACTAGTGTCATTTCCCAGCATGTTGATATTCAAGTCACCCATTATCAGAAACTTTGAACCAGTGTTAGTTAGATAGTTTAATAGTTCATCAGTGAATTCAAAGAATGGCGTCTTATTTCCGTTTGGGGGCCGATATATGACACATACATAAAAAGATTTCAAACATACCGTAAGACATTCTATATGTTCGTTAGTAGTGGTGAAACTTGAAATCACTTCGTATTGCAGATGTTCTCTAAGATACATAGCCACGCCGCCACCACGCCCATTAGTACGTGTGATGCCTTGGTATGTGTACCCTTCTAATTGAGGCGGCTTTTCACTTTGCGTTAGCCATGTCTCAGTAAACATCAACACATTGAAGCTAATGTCCATATTTTCAAGAAATTCTCGCAGGTCATCTCCTTTGTCTCTAATACTTCGTAGGTTTAAATGCAAGGCTGCCATGAACTTATTTGGATTTAACTTAGAAACAGAAATATTAAACGAGTCATAATCGTGATAAGTACAGCAGTTGAGACCGGAATTAGCCATGTATGTCAGTAATTAGTGCACAAAATTGTGTTCAGCTAGACTGTGGCATTCACTCGACCATTTTATCAACATCATCCAAACAGATTAGGCGAAGCACAGGTGCGGTTTCATTTCGCCGTGCGAAAATCTTTCCGCCAGCTGTCCACACAAATTTCCAGTTAACAGCTCTTTTCTTTCTGATGGCAGCTCCGAGCAGCTGCTTAGCTTCTTTCGTCAAATGCTCATTGATGAACACTGGATTCTGCTTGTCGAATCCAAGCATTTTTGTGTCTAGTCTCGTCTTCTTTGATTTAGCAAGAATTGCATTCCTTTTGTCTCGGCGGACAAAACGAACAATAATGTTGGACTGGTCATGCCTAGCAGTAGGAACTCTGTGGCAGACGTCTATGTCATGCTTTTCAATGTCCTCTTTTATCAGTTCGCCAATTTTTGTTACCACTGATATTGGTTCACTGTCAAGAGGTATGCCCTTGATTTCTAGATTGTTTGATCGCTGGTATTGCTCTAGCTCCTCCAGCCTGCGCGTCAGCTTTGCATTTTGTGACTTCAGTTCCTTGTTTTCAAGCAGAATTTTTTGCAAATCCTCTCTTATAAGCTTGAGTTCCTGAATATCAGGCCTCAGTCCTTTAAGTTCATTCAATGTATCCTTAATTTCATGTAACTCAGCGGCTAATTCACTCCGCAGATCGTCAACCTGCTTTTTAGTCATAATATCTAAAAACGTACACTATTCACAATAAACAAACAGATCCAAAGTCTGGGCAGGGCAGTTTTCGCTCGGCAGCAGTGCACACGTTTCACGTTTGGCAACACAAACAGAAAAACAGCAAGCCTCACCTGGAAAGACAGATATCTTTTAGTTACGTGTGCAATGTGCACCGCTGCCGAACTGCAAACGCCGGTAGGTCCGGGGGCGCTTTTTGAAGCCAGCCGTAGTGTCCACCGCCACCAAGCGGACGATGCCGATCGCCTTGTTATCACCGGGGGTGTAGCCGATCAAACCCGCCCGAAGATAGAGGGTCCGCCGGCTGGAAGTATCTTGGAAAAATTATCCCTTGGTCCACGTCTCGCAGCTTGAAACTTTCAAAGTCTGGAAAGACAGATATCTTTTAGTTACGTGTGCAATGTGCACCGCTGCCGAACTGCAAACGCCGGTAGGTCCGGGGGCGCTTTTTGAAGCCAGCCGTAGTGTCCACCGCCACCAAGCGGACGATGCCGATCGCCTTGTTATCACCGGGGGTGTAGCCGATCAAACCCGCCCGAAGATAGAGGGTCCGCCGGCTGGAAGTATCTTGGAAAAATTATCCCTTGGTCCACGTCTCGCAGCTTGAAACTTTCAAAGTCTGGAAAGACAGATATCTTTTAGTTACGTGTGCAATGTGCACCGCTGCCGAACTGCAAACGCCGGTAGGTCCGGGGGCGCTTTTTGAAGCCAGCCGTAGTGTCCACCGCCACCAAGCGGACGATGCCGATCGCCTTGTTATCACCGGGGGTGTAGCCGATCAAACCCGCCCGAAGATAGAGGGTCCGCCGGCTGGAAGTATCTTGGAAAAATTATCCCTTGGTCCACGTCTCGCAGCTTGAAACTTTCAAAGTCTGGAAAGACAGATATCTTTTAGTTACGTGTGCAATGTGCACCGCTGCCGAACTGCAAACGCCGGTAGGTCCGGGGGCGCTTTTTGAACTTGCGTACTCTTGAGCTTGCGTACTCGTCGGGGCGATTCATACATGCAGCTTCAGTAAATGGTATCTTCCAGCCCGGTGACCTTGCAATTTTTTTCTGCACACAGCGCAAACACCGAGATGTACCCACTCGCAGATGGTCACGTCAAGTGCATATTTACCTTGACTAAAATGTCCAATCAAGTTTTTTCATCGACCGGTCCCTGCCATGAGTGCTAGTCTTCGTAAACAAGACACATTGTTATTGACACTGCACACACCACACTCAGTATTCTCAGTTGAACCGATATTCTCAATACCTTTCAATGCACACTACATGCCGCAATCAACAGTGCACATTTTTGAAGACTATGCCGCTGTTGCTCGCACAGGCCACCACGTGTGTTCACTTCTTCAAGATAAACAGACAGCGTGGCAAATATTTTACCACACAGTTTACCACACAGCTGGATGTTTGCTGACACATACTACAGCTAATGTCGACATTGTAACGTGAAGTGTAAGCTTTGAAAAATTAAAACTTGCCCCAAACACCGCACGACTGTACCGGGCTGAGCCACCAGCGGGAGTGTTTTTCCAGCCACACCTTTTACATGTGCCAGTGACATCATGCTGTGACGTACCTCGGTAGGGGCCTATCGCTGCATACTTTATGTGAATGAGGGTCCTGTTAGTGAAAGCAGGCATTGTTGATTTCGTAACTTGTTCATGCCCAACTGTACCTTCATTTGCACAAGTTGTCTGACTGATATTCAGGTGAACTTTTGTGTAATAAATTATACAGTTGGCAGTCTGTGCTTGCCCCATACTGTTGTTACTGGTGTTTCTTGTTGTTACTTTGCACTGCTCATTACTACTCACCTACATAAACTAGCCTATCTTGCCGCTGTTTTGCACAAGATGCAGCAGGCAAGTGCGATAGTGTTCATAATTCTAAATTCTCGAGCAAAATTGATCGTTTCATATTCAGTTAGTTGCATTCATATCAGTACATTATAAGAAATCATTGATTAAACATGAATCCGTGTTCCTTTACATAATGCTCACAACTTTTATATCAAATTGAATGGTGTTTATAAAAAACATGGGTTTTAGCTAAACTTCATGCTCTTTTCTCGAAGAGCTGACAAAACGCTATTGCATGCTTACTTGCCATGAATAGGACTGTGTTCTAAATACATTGCAATTCCTCACCGGACCGCCAGCACACTTCACATTGGGGGAACATTTAATAACCATGGATTGATTATTAAGAACGGAAAGAAAGAAGCGGCAGGCCGGGATACTTGATATTGGCATCCGTTTTGCTACCCAGCGCATTATCATGCAAACTTCCTATAGAGTGGTTATGCGTCTTGCATGCGTGTCTGTAAACCAAGAACTTTGGGTAGAACTATATTTATCTTACAAATGGTTGCAGGACTGTGGAGGCTGTAGGGCTGCTTAGGAATGGTGGAATCCTTGGACGTGTGTTCAACCTTGCTGCATCAGCTCCTTGGTGTTTTCACGGCATCTTTACAGATGTGTTGGGTGAGTAAAGCAAGCAGGTTTCAACACAAGGAAAAGTATAATATGGCAGCACCTCTTGTGCGTGCCTTACATCCCAAGTATATCAAATATTTATCTTGCCTTGTGGCCTGTAATTTTTAAAGAGACACTTCTTTTTGCTTTATATTTGAGTCTTAATGCTTCGACAGCAATGTATTTGTGTTTGACAGCAAGTGTTCTTGAACAAATAACTGATCTCAATAATGACAAAACACCCTTCATACTTGGTCCTTAGCATAAGCTAGCACTTATCTGTAGCAGATTCAAGTATTCATTTTTTGCTGGGATGATAACGGGCAAGTAGCAAAGGCAAGTTCAGATTGGAGTGGTCGGTGACGTCTGCTTAGGCTCTGCCATATTGCTTTCAACCAGAGTTACTTGTGGCCACATATACAATAAAGCCACATGACGTGCATTCTAAATGAGATTACCATATCACATTTCACTGCATCTTAGTATGTGCCAAACAAATGCAGATATCATTAGCTTGCCACTATGAAGGGATCCTAAACCAACACAAGGTTGAAATTTAGTTGTGGTGTTGCAGCTGTGTATGACTCTACAAAGGATACATAGCCGTGATAATTTGTCTATATGTGGTCGCAATAGTAATGTTACACACATTGTACGATACAAAAGAGGTCCTCGCTTATTTCGCTTTTTTTCGCTATGCTTCTTTCTTGTCTCTTCTTCCATGTGCTCCTCCTCACTGTACAAGGAGCAAGAGCAGTGGGCATACAAACACGTATTTAAAAAAAATGTTGTAAGGTGAGCACTGAGAAGCTGAACACTTCCAAAAGGCTCAAAGAGGTAAAGGTATTGTTTCTTGCTACTTTTTGGGCACCCATAGCTAGTTGTGCTGCTGCAGTTAAAAAATAAGTGAAATGTTAAAAATTAATTGGAGATGGTTTGGCACCCATAATTGCAGTTACATACAGAACTAGTTTTCAATGCGTAAGCAAAATCTGTTTACTCTAAATCAATCCTACTGATATCTGAAATTCAGGAAATATTCGCAGAAAAGCTCAGGAAAAGGCTAAGTGGTTGCCCCTTGAATGTGAAGGAGATACCCTTCTTCTAAAAGGTCAATAGACAATCTAGTAGTCTCGATATTACATGCACTATAAAATATTCTGGTGTGGTGCTTTTCATGCATGTTATAATGAGAGGGGTTTTTAATAGAACTGTTGTCACTTTGCCCTGCATTGCTGAAATTGTTCACATAGTTATAATACATGAATCACTTTATTCCTTTTAATTTTATGCAAATGGTTTGCTTACCCAGTCGGTTTAACTTGATTTGGATAAAATCATAAATGCTCTAATATTTTTTTTAATATACAGCAGGTTAATTTTTAAAATACGCGACCATTGATGTGAACGCAGTTGGTGGCGTGCTTGATTAATCCTTCACTATCACCACTCTAACTACACCTGCTACAGTGCATAGTGTGACAAAAGTAATGGTACCTAACATTACTGGCAGCATACACTTTTATGTCTCAAAATAGGTTAAAAAGCCTGGTAAAAATGTGTGTACGTTTTTTTTTCGCTCCAACTAAATATTCGGGTCTACTCAAAGTAGCTTCCACTCTTTTCAGTTCCTCAAACTTTTAGGTGTTCAAAAGAAGTATCAATGCCATATACTTTCTTTGTCAGCCTACTCACCACTCTAATGATGAGAATTACCCGACAACATTACTCAGGAAAATATAGGGATGTTGTAAAAAGTAATGTCAATTCAATTGTCAAAAAATGTCAACCCATTAGTAACTTGCCGCCAAGTTACGTTTTCGTTCACTTTTCTTTTCACAATTTTTTTTAAGTTATTTTTGATAACATCATCTATAGTTTGTTTGGCATCATTGTCTGCTAGTTCTCATTATAATGTGTTCAACAAAGACAACAAACCCTTAAATTTATAGTTCTTTCCTTTACTCATGAATCTGAAACAGTGAATCTCAGTAATCTTAGCGGCGTGTGACTTGTTTTTTTTTTGATCAGTTGTGCATGTATTCAAGTACATGCATTTAGGTGGGAGGGCGAACTATTGCCTCCTCCTGTGACTAGCAGATTTTCTGAGAACGGACAGATGCATAATGCTGCCAAAGAAGTATAGGGATTTTGGAAGTAATCGTAACGTAATTGCAATCGTAATGTAATTGCCAGTAGGCAAAAAAAGGTGTCCCACACTCGCCATAATGGTAACAGGCAGCGCTGACTGACTCTTCCATGTATAAATGCACATATATACCGTACAAAATGGAAGAGGGATAGCCGCCATGGTAGCTCAGTTGATAGAGCATCGGACATGTTATTCAAAGTTCACAGGCTCGGTCCCTGTACAGGGCAGGTTATCTTTTTTTTTCCTGCCCCGCCACGGTGGTCTAGTGGCTAAGGTACTCGGCTGCTGACCCGCAGGTCGTGGGTTCGAATCCCGGCTGTGGCGGCTGCATTTCCGATGGAGGCGGAAATGTT